TGTTTGTTGAATTGGATAGAGTTACATTAAGCAAATGACCTCAAGGGTACAGATCATATCTTATATTTTTTTATCCTACCTAGCACTCACACAGGATTAAATACATAGTGGATGTTTGCTTAATGATAGCTTAGGCCTAGATTTGAATCTGTATTCACCCAGAGTGACTCTACCCTAAGTGAAATACTTCATGTCTTCTGATGTATTTCCTTTTTAATAACATTTTCTAAAGAGAATGATTTATCTTTCATATACTTATAGCCTGTGAGGTGCCATAAATGATAAGGATGGAGAGAGGAATTTAGAAAATAAACCCTTTAAAAGAAGACCTAAGAGGATGAGGATCCATTTGGAAATTGAAGAGCTCTCAAGTTCGTTTTGAGATATTCTTTCCGGGAATATTTCAGTTTCAACCTGTTCTCACCCATCTGGCTGCTTTATTAACAAAAGAGGGTAGCAATTGAAAAGACTTTTGCTTGAGGCAACAGACTTTCCAAAAATTCACAGAAAGAACTTTTGAGATGCTCTTTATCATATTTTTTCTCTTTCTCTCTCTCTCTCTCTTTTTTTTATTATTTGGAAAAAATAAATCCCAACCGGAGGGAGAACATTTTATGGAGAGTGTGTGCATAGAAACTCTGAGTGACTCACACATGGTGTTGTAGGTCTATTCCGGTGTGTGGGTGTTTACAGAACAATTACATAAGTGGCATCCTAGCAAAGGACTTTTGACATTTGTGGCAACTTAATGGAGTTCTTTTCATCGCTGAAAATGTCCTAATTGTTGTTTCCTCAAATCTAAAATGCATAAAACCAGTGAAGCATCTTAAATTGCTTCTTGGATATTTCTACCAAGAATTCGCTTTGTTCGCAAAGGAGCTGAAGAAATTTATTTTTGAGAAAATACACAAGATTAAGTTAGAAGAAATGTCAATGATTTGATCATTCAGCTTACATTGTCTGGAAGTACAGACTATCTTTGGAAAAAAAAAAACCAAACAGCTTACACCCCATGCAGTTCATTGCAATTCTTCTGGTTAAGGGTTGGTTAGCATTTCCTCTTGCAACCTATGCACCCTTGGCTTTCATCCAGGAGCAAGGTTACCTGGCCTAGTTTACATAGGTCTGTCTCGGAATTTTCCAACCACATATCTTGGTAAGCACTAGGATTCTAGATTCCACTCCCTTTATAAACAGCAAGCATGGAATCCAGAGGGATGCCATTTTTATTGATAAAAATAACATTCAGAGAAGAGTTTGGTCACTTCTTGGAGCACTGATCAGAATGAAGTGTAGTATAGTAGAAATGGTGCTGTATCCGGATTGAAAGGACCTAGTTTCAAATCCAGGCTCCTCCATTTAATACTTATGGGACTACAAGTGAATCACTTTAGTGACTGTAAATGATGGGTCTGGAGTAGATGACCTCTAATATTCTTAAATCCATGATTCTATGAAACATTGCTTTTGAAAACAGAGGACAAAAATACTATTAGGTTATAAAAAATGAAGAAAGGGACAGATTCAGAGAAACTTTAGAAGTCTTATATGGACTGATGCAAAATGAAGTGAGCAGAACCAAGAGAATGACTTATATAAAAACAACATTATAAAGAAAACACCTTAGAAAGACTTAACTTTGGTCAGTGTAATGACCAACCGTAATTCCAGAGGACTGATAATGAAGTGAGCTGCACACTCCCTGACAGGAGTCCTGATGGACTCGGGATACAAAATAAATATTTTTTCAACATGGCTGATGCGGTAATTTGATTTGTTTGACTATACATATTTGTCAAAAGGGTCTTGGTTATTTCTTTTCTTTTTCAATGGAAGGGGAGGTGGGAGATTTTTGTTAATTAAAAAAATTAATTTAATTTAAAAAATACACCACTAAGGAAATCTCCAAGCTATCTTCCAATTTGAAGAACGAAGGAAACAGCTTACTAAAGGTCTCAGACACTTATCTTCTTCCTTTTTGGTTTCTCTATGCGACTCCAAGATCTTGGGGTTCATAGCATTATAGAGGTTAATAGAATTATTGAATATAGAGCTAGAAATGATTTTAGAATTCATCTTGTTCAGTACTTCCATTTTACAGATAAGGAAACTGAGGGCCATAATGGTTAGTATCATAAAGCCCAGTGGGTCCTTGGATATTATTATCTAAATAGAGGTTGGCAAACTATGGTCTGTAGGCCAAATCTGGCTTGTTATCTGTCTTTGTATAGCCTATAAACTAAGAATGATTTTTACAATACAGTTTTATTGTATCTAAATTTCTAGATTCTAGGAGAAGCCTTTTATTTTATAGAGGAGAGGTCTAGAGAGGTTAGGCTCATAAGATAATAAATTTTAAAATGGAAGAGACCTAAGGAGCCATAAAGTCCAGCTTCCTTCTTTTACATGCAATGGAGAACTGGGATTCTAAGTCCTTATAAGTATTCCCTGCTTAATGCAATTGCCACATGGAGCATGTGCAGATATTGTTTTAGTCTGCTTACCATCTGACAGTAACTGAAATGCTCTGAAAAGTGACCTGTGGCACCCAACCCAGCTGTGAAGACCAGGCAGCCATTGGGAAGTGAATTTACTGGGGTGAACGTGTGTAACAAGTGCATTAAGTCTGAGACCACCCTCTGCAGGGACTGAGGAAGTGGAGGAGAGTGTGTGTCCTGATTCAAAGCAATGGCTCCTACTTCTGTTCTTTCTCTATCTTCTTAGTGAATATCTCTTTGTAGAAACTAATCAATTTTAAATGATACTACGGTACTAATCACAAGAGGGTATCGGTTATATAAAGGAGATACCTCCTCTAACTGGAGATTGACATTGGAGAAAACATCAGAATGGGGGGCTCGAGCTGACAGCATGAGAGACAAACCATGAGGAACTCCTGTGACCCTGAGGGAAAGATATTGCCTTCTTTTGGGGCACCCAATTCGTCAGCTCAAATGGAAACTGGGATAAGGAGTTTAGAAAACTGAATCCCAGAAAAATGAAATGACTTTCTAAGTTCACACAGGCAGCAAGTAGAAGGACAAGGATTTGAACCTGTGTCTTCTGACTCAGAATCCAGCATTCTTAGGACTTGGAATTTATTGCTGTTTGTTTGGCAATCCCGAATGACTTTTTGGCAGGTCCCTGAGTAAAGATGGGAAACTGAAGTTATGAGGGTGGTGCTATTTACGGGTTAAAAAGAAACAGAACAAAGGTCAAGGCAATAATCGGATGGGTTTTGACTCATAGAGGTCAGTTACTGCCCTGCTAACCCCCTTTTAAAGAAGACAGCACAGCCAGAGCACACCCAAGTGCAGCTGCACATACCCAAGTGCCCTTGGATTCTTTCCACATGACTAGAGCTCTTGAGCAAGTTTCTTATGCACTGGAAAGGAAGCAGCAATGCCCCAGGGTTTTCTGCCGTTACAGTTTAGTAGAGAAGTAGGGTTCTCTGAACTTTGTTGGCTTTGGGCAAGGAGATGGTGATAAAATGTTACTTATCAATGAGTTATTGAATTAAATACTTGGAGTCTCTGACTCTGCTAGAGTCACATTCATCCAAGGAGCTCACCTACATTAAAAAACATCAACTCTGGCTTCCTGATTCTCCATGTAGAAGGTATTTATAAATATTATTCTCCTGACTGAGGGTGGAGAAACTGAGAACCTAAGATATGGTCAAAGGGCAGCTCTATGGTACAGTGGGTAGAGTGCCTGGAGTCAGGAAGACTCATCTTCCTGAGTTCAAATCTGGCCTCTGACACTTACTAGCTGTGTGACCTTGGGCAAGTCACTTAACCCTGTTTGCCTCAGTTTCCCCACATGTAAAATGAGCTAGAGAAGGAAATAGCAAACCACTTCAGGACCTTTGCCAGGAAAACCCCAAATGGGGTCATGAAGAGTCAGACACGGCTGAAACGACTGAACAAGACATGGCCAAAGCTACAGAGAAGCACAGTGGTTATAGAATTCTATAAATAAATATGTACTTTTATAAAATAATAATCCTGTAGTAAGGTTTGGAAGGATCTTAAAGGCCATCTGGTCTGACTCCATTTTACAGATGAGGAAACTGAGGCCTGAAGAGAGGAAGTGACTTGCCCAAATTCATACAAATATAAGATTATTGGATCTAAAGCTGGTAAAGATCATCTGGGCCAACTTCTCATTTTACTGATGAGGAAACTGAAGCCAAGTGGATGTTATGTGAATTGCCCAAATCACACAGATAGTAGGAGTCAGAGGTGGGATTTGAATCCTGCTCCAATGACTCCAAACCCAGCTCTTTTTAAAGGCAGCTAGTTGTCATGATGGAGTACTAGATCTGGAGTTGGGAAGATCTGAGTTCAAATTTGACCTCAGACACTTACTGGCTATGTGACCCTGGGCAACTCACTTAATCTAAGTCTGCCTCAGTTTCCTCATCTGTAAAAGGAGGGGGGGGGAAATCACACTATCTCCCAGGGTTATTGTAAGGATAAAATGAGGGAATATTTGTAAAGTATTTTGCAAACCTTAATGTGCTATTATAAATGCTAGCTGCTATAATTATTATTATTAATTTTTCACTGTTCCTTTTAGCCTTTTAGATGAAAAAATGAATGTTAAAAGGCTGATTCCACTGGGTACAGTGTGTGAAAGTGTTTTTTAAACCTAAAGCATAATACTAGTAGGGTTCTTGGTTATTTGTTTTATTTTAAAAATGATTTATTAATGAATTTTGATTTTCAAATATATTCATTTTCCAAAAATACCATAACATAGTTCCCTTCCTCATAGCTGACAAATAGAAGAGTTAATTAAAACTGACTGATACAGCAAGTGTGACCGAACGAATATATAGCATTCTGCAGTAGCAGTTTGCCACTTTTTTACTAAGAAAAAGGTAGTGTGTGCCAATAGTTCCAACATTAGTTATCTGGTTGCCTTATGTAAATTGTCATCTTTTGCAGGTTGTCAATCTGTATTATGTTCTCTTTTATTGTTGTCTTCTTTCATAGGACTTCGGTCACTGTGTGTGCTGCTGTCCTGGTACTGGTACTACTTTTGGGTTGTTTCGTAGTGAATCTCATTTTGTCTGACACCTCTGAGCTACAAAAAGTTTATCAGATAATCACAAATCCATTGCCATGAGCTGTCCTTGCTTTGGTGAGTGTGCTGAGATGGGTTAAATTAAAGTCTAGCCTGTAAGATCCTCAAGCCATTATATCATCCGTTCTTCCCCATTCCCCTGCAATTATTCCTTCTCAGAGATACAGATGCAGACAAACTCAGGAAGCCAGTGGAACTCTGGTTGTGCATCACTTCCTTCTCTGTTGGCCCTTACTCTAGCTGCATAGAACCTGAAGGCCTTCCCGGTGACAAACATATACCTAAGATGGGTTTATTGCTAGAGTCTTAGTTGTGGTGATAGTGAGTGAGATGAGTATCATCTGATGAATCCCCAGGTATGTAGCAAGGGCTGCAATGGAAAGGTTTAAAAAAGACACTGAAATAGACTGAGTTTGCTGATTCCTGAAACCAAATCTTAAAATTATTTTTATTCAGTTACATTCAAAATAATCCTAAGTCTTTAGAGACAGTTTTGTTTTTGTCTTCATATCCTTACTCCCTAGTGTGGTGACCTGCACCCTGCAGGTGCTTAAGAAGTGTGTGTTGAATTAGATTGAATGCTATCCAGTGCCTTTGTTTTCTACTGGGTGAAAAAAAACTTGGTTTATTTATTTGGAAATATTTATTATTTTATAGATGTTATTTTTCTTATTAATCTTCTTGGTCCTATCAGAATTCTCATGTGGCAGATTGGTGGTGGTGTAAGCCAGGCTTCCCATAAGTAGTGAAGTGGAAAAGAAAATGAAGAGCATGGTATATTGAATAGAAGGAGCACTGGGCACTGAGAATCAAGAGATCCGTGGCCTACTATCATAGAATCTCAGAATTTGAGAGTTGGCACCTCATTGGCCATCTTTTCTTGCTCTTGGGTCATTTCAGTTATGTCTGACTCTTCATGACCCTATTTTGGGGTTTTCTTGGCAAAGATACTAGAGTGGTTTGCCATTTTTTTATCCAGCTCATTTTACAGATGAGGAAACCGAGGCAAACAGCATTAAGTGACTTGCCCGGGGTCACACAGTTAGTCTCAAGTGTCTAAGGCTGGATTTGAACTCAGGAAGATGAGTTCCTGATTCCAAGCCCAATGCGCTATCCACTACCCAGTGGCCATCTAGTTCAACCCACACATAAGAGATATTCTCACTATAAAACATGCTTGATTATTGGTTATTTGTTTTTCTGCAGGTGGTCCACCCAACCTTCTAGGAGCCTTACTCTCTTTCTGTTGTCATCTTAAAGATACCAGTAGAGCACAAGGTCTGCTCATCTTTGCTCTCTCTCTCTCTCCCCACATAACTAGAGCCTCTTTCTCTGCCATATATTTCTTTGATAACACACAGTTGGCGATTTATAAGTATATGTTGGGGCGGCATGGGGGGGCGGTGGCACAGTGGATAGAGCACTGGCCCTTGAGTCAGGAGGACCTGAGTTTGAATCTGGCCTCAGTCACTTGACAGTAGCTGTGTGACCCTGGGCAAGTCACTTAACTCTGGGTACCTCACCAAAACAAACAAACAAAAAACCCCAAAAGTATGTATTGAATGGAATATGAGTTAGGCTGCCCAAGCTCCCATAAGTAGGCAGGATGTAATAAGCATTCAGTAAGCACCCAGTGCCCTAGAGTTGGAGAACCTGGGTTCAAACTCTACCTCTGCTTCTTACTGTCTGTGTCCTCAGGCAAGTTATTTAACCTCATTGGGCCTCAGTTTTCTCATCTATAAAATGTAGTGATTGTAGTAGGTGACCTCTAATGTCACTGCCAACTCCGGATTTATGAGGCAGACAGGTGGTCCAGTAGATAGAGCGCTGGACTTGGAGTCAAATCTGGCCTCAGACACTTTTTAGATGTGTTACCCTGGCCAAGTCACTTCATCTATGTCTGCCTTAGCTTCCTCATCTATAAAATGGGAATGCTAACAGCCCCTACCTCCCAGAGCTGTTGTGAGGATCAGATGAGATAATAATTGTAAAGTGCTTTGCAATCTCAAGGGACTATATAAATATTGATGTTGTTGTTACTTCTATTATTATTATTATATATTATCCTATTATTATTCTTGTTATTATCCTAAGGGCTATTAGGTGGGACAGTGAATAGAACACCAGGCCTGAAGTCAGGAAGACTCATCTTCCTGAGTTCAAATCCAGCTTCAGACATTTACTAGCTGTCTGACCCTGGGTAACTCACTTAATCCTCAGTTAAAACCCTAAGTTTGACTCAGTTTCCTCATCTGTAAAATGAGCTGGAGAAGGAAATGGCAAACCACTCCAGCATCTTTGCCAAGAAAACCCCAAATGGCGACATGAAGAGTCAGACGTGACTGAAACAATTGAACAACAACATTGTTATCCTAATACGTGCCAGTAACTGTGCTAGGCAGTAGAGATACAAACACTGAAATGAAACAATCCTTTCTCTCAAAGAGCTTGCATTCTACTGGGGAAAATAACACTTACCTGTATAAATACATGTAGAATGATTTATGTAGAAGTGATACAAAGTAGTTAGGAAGGAAAGACACTAGCAGTTAGTGGTGGTGGGAAAAACCAGGAGAGGTTTCAACGATCCCTACAGTCTCTTCTGGGTTGAAAATTCAGTGTGTCCTGGTACATAGTAGGTACTTACAGTATTCTCTGAACCTGTGGTCCCTGGCCATTATCACCTGGTTAAAGTGGGTCAGAACCGTGGGCCCACTGATGCTGCTGTGGTAACCTGTGGAGGTGAACCTGGTTATTCAAACCAGGCCTGTCAGTGGCAAAGACCCTTAACCACCAAGGGGTCTGTCATTATCAACATCGTAATTACACAGCAGATTTTGCAGAAGAGGCCCCTTTACTCAGTCTGATGGGTGTTGTCTTAATCACTACATAGCTATTTGTTCAAACCACAGACACCTATTAAGGAGATTGCCTTCACAGATGAGCCTCCTTCTTCCATTCGAGACTTAAAGACAGATAGAATTATTGTTTATCTATTGCAATTCTCTGAGAAGCTGCAGGCCTTTTCTTTTAATTTGCTATCTAGGGTGTCTCCTGGGGTCTGAGTGCTTTGTGTTTGTACGTTGGAGTTGGAGTTATCCATGCTCGTGTGTCCTTCCTCTGGAAAGTGGTCATTTCTATTTGTTCAAAATATACCATGAAGCAGTGATCTGATTGTTTTATTTTTTAATCTATGGATACTTTTTATCTTTATGTCACCTTCACTTCTAAATGTATCATCTCTTCTCCCCACAGAGCCGTCCCTTGTAACAAAGAATAAGAGAGAGAGAGAGAGAGAGAGAGAGAGAGAGAGAGAGGAGAAAGAGAAAGCAATCAGAAAGACTAATGAATATGTCAGCTGTTCTACTGGGCTCAGTCTTTGTGATGGCTTCATACCCATATTCTTTCATCTTTGAAAAGAAGGGAAGGAGATGAATTTTCTTCTCTCCTCTTTCAGACCATGCTTGATTATTGTAATTTTATAGCATTTAGGTTGTTAATTTTACCATTGACATAGAGGTAAGCCACTGGGTATACTGCTTTTCTGGTTCTGCTTACTTCGTGTTGTATGAGTTTCTACAAGTCTGCCTATGTTTCTCTGTATCCTTCATATTTGTCATTTTGTAGGGTATTAATATATTTCATTAAATTTTTGTTGATTCTCCAGTCAACCTGCCATTTCTTTTCACAGGGGGCTTAGGGAGGATTGGGAGAGTGGAAGTGATTAGTGTCTGTTACACCAACACCAACAATAATGATAATAGAATTTATATAGCTCTTTAAGGTTTTGCAAAATGCTTTACAAATATAATCTCACTTGATCCCCATAACAATCTTGTGAAGTGAGTGGTACTATTGGTAATAATAATAACTACCATTTATTATTTAATGCATACTATGTGCCAGGCCCTGTGCTAAATGCTTTACTATTATTATCTCACTTAACCTTCAAAACAACTCTGTGAAGTGTGTGTTAATATTATTATTATTAAACTTTCTGAAATGCATGCTACTATTATCTCCATTTTCCAGATGAAGAAACCAAGGCAAAAAGAGGTCAAATAACTTGCTTAAGTTTACACAGCTAGTAAGTGTCTGAGGCAGGATTTGAACTCAGGTCTTCTCAACTCTTAAACCCAATACTATCCACTCCCCCATCTAACTATATTTCAATCACCAGTTACCTATAGGAAATTTCAACCTGGATGTCCCAGAGACATCTCAAATTCAATGTCCCAAACAGAACTCATTCTCTTTCCCTCAAAATCTACCCCTTTTCCAAACATCCCTATTTCTGTCAAAAGGATCACCATCCTTCCAGCGTCCCAGGTTCACAAACTTGGGGTTATCCCAACCTCTCTTATCTCATGTAGTCAAACAGTTGTCAAATCTCATCATTTGCACCTTCACAACATCTCTTACCTGTGACCCCTTCTCTCTAGTCACACAGCCACCACCTTAGTTCAGGCCCCCATTCTCTTTTATTTAGATTATTGCAATAACATTCTCTATATTACTTCCAAAGTGATTTTTCCTTAAGCTCAGATCTGACCTTGCAACTCCCCTACTCAACCTCCACTGGCTTTCTATTTCTTATGGAATAAAATATCCACTGTTAAGGTTTTTAAAGCCCTATACAACTTGGCCCTGACTTCTTTTTTAGCCTCCCTGGATGTTATTAGAGTTGGGGGCAGCTAGGTGCCTCAGCAGATAGCACACTGGGCCTGGAGTCAGGAAGACCTGAGTTCAGATGTGACCTCAGACACTTAATAGCTGTGTGACTCAGGGCAAATCACTTAACCTCTACCTGCCTCAGTTTTCTCAATAGTAATATGGGGATCACATTCTCCACACTGGAAGCAGACCCCTACCTTAACAAAGAATTTATAACTCAAGTAATTGGCTGGGATCATAAGCAAACCTCGCAAAAAGAGTCAGTCAATATTATCTTACTTTGGTGACAAAGAAGATTGAAACATACAACCAGAAGAAGACAACAAAGTCAAAGCTCCTACATCCAAGGCTTCCAAGAAAAATATGAATTGGTCCCAGGCCAT